TTCAAAGCCCGTCACGCCAACCACCTGACCTCCATGCGTCATGAGAAATACAAAAACAGCACTGAGCTCGCAAAACACGTATGGGAGCTGAAGAGCGAGGGAAAGCCGTTGACCATTACATGGAAGGTGCGGGAGAAGAGCCGATCATACAGATGTGAGTCAAAAAAATGCAATCTTTGTACCGCGGAAAAATTCCACATCCTGACTACACCCAAGAAGCTCCTACTCAACAAGCGGTCTGAGATGGTCTCGAAATGCAGGCACGAGAATAAGTTCCGCCTCGCAAATTTCACACCTATCAAATGAACTGACCAAGTACTGTCCTGCACTTTGCCTGAGCACCCATTATTATTAATAACAAAATCCCTTGGCCTGTAGTCGGCGATGCCACTCTGCTCACGCCTGCCCGTCACCAAACGACTCCCTACTTGTAGCGATCTCACTGGCCCATTGCCCGCCACCCTCCTGGCACCTCCACCCATCTGCTGTACACTGCCTCCCCATCGCCTCTTTCCGCGCTTTCATGCTCACACCTGCCTGTTGCCCGCCACCATCCTGGCACTTCCCCCTGTCGCGCCTTGGCCCGCGCCAGCTTTCTCCCCATACCTCACACCAGATTTAGCGCTAAATTTGTTTATGCTTGTGGCTCTATGTTTATAAGCATACTGTTGGGTAGACCCGAGTATCAGTTGTCTGATGATTGCCTAGCGGCATGAAACTCAGAGTTACAACCAACCTGAACGTCCTCCGCTGAGTCTGCTATGTACTAAGCTCTGTCTCTGACATTGAGCACTCTCTGCAGCTCGGGGATCAACGGATTCGGATTTGACTGAATAAACGTTATAATTAATATGCTATCCGCCTACATGCGATTCCCGGGCTGGTCGACAGGCGGCCCAGCCAGCTTGCTAGTGGGATCTCGGCCTCGCACACAAATCCACACAAAATGTTGCTGCACTGAATGCATTCCCCCGATACACTTCGCAATATTATACTCATTCCCTTGATGGTACCGTACTCTTGATGGTACGGGACAGGTACGGGATAGCGCCAGGCATGTCGATGGCACTGAGGCTGTGTTTACATGAAGCGTTTCAACCCGGGTTGAGTTCGACCCGGGTCAGATTTCAACCCGCCATGTGCACAAAGTGAATGGCGCGTTTACATGACGCATTGCGCTTGACCCGGGTTGAAATTTCGCCCCGGGTTGATTTCAACCCTCCCCCCAAGGGGAGGGTTGAAATCAACCCGGGTCAAGAAATTCGTACAAACGTACTTCTGTGCGTATCTCGCGCCAGGTTTGAACGGCACTGCAGATGCAAATTTCGCGCGAACGGATTCACGTGACCATACAGGACTGTAGAAGTGGACTTTTGGCGGCATATCAGTATTTGACCCGGGTCAACTGTCTTCATGTAAACGCTCACCTCTTTTGTCCATCGTACAGACTTTCAACCCGGGCTGAACTCGACCCGGGTTGAAATTTCTCATGTAAACACAGCCAAACAAACAAAAATATTGTGGCCAGCTGCCTTTGCTGGTACGGTACAGTACGGGACAGATACGGGATAGCGCCAGGCGTAACACAAACAAACAAACAAACACCAAATTAAAGCTGTGTGGACCCTGGCTAGCGCCAGACGTTACTGAAGTAACGTCTTCTGCATAGCTACGGGAATTAAAGCTGTGTGGACCCTGGCTAGCGCCAGACGTTACTGAAGTAACGTCTTCTGCATAGCTACGGGAATAATCATCTACTTTTGGTTTGCTCCTTCTTTTCTTTTTATCTCCTTATACTGTAAATCAACAAATTTTGGCCGATGAGAAATAGAAACCTCTCTATTAGAGGGGTTAAGATGCACGTTATTTCCGACGTGACGCGCAATTTCACGTCAAATTTGAAATTGATCGGTATTTTTGCTCTCACATGCATCCATTGCTCAATCATGCATCATTTGCCTATAATTATGACAAACTTTGGCCTGCGATTTACTTTGGCCGGTTGGTACCAAGCGGCGAAATCAGCGAAATTAAATCGCCAGCGAAAATTAGTTGCTAATTTTAATACAGGAATCGGATTTTCTGGCCTTTTTGTAGTAATACATGTACATTGACCTGTTGAGCCAATGACGACGCCGAATGCATGGTTGCCTGTGGAGCACATTACCTAACTTTACAGTCTCCTAAAATACGTATCCTGTCCGACGGCAAAAGAGGCTGCAGATTTAGTTTTTCTGCGCGTCGACGGGATGTCTGCGATGCGAAAGTTCAGCTCGCGTTATTTGGCTCGCACGTCGAAAAATCAACGCGAGTGACCTGCTGCTCACGTCGAAATTTGGACATTACATAACTTTACAGTCTCCTAAAATACGTATCCTGTCCGACGGCAAAATAGGCTGCAGATTTAGTTTTTCTGCGTGTCGACGGGATGTCTGTCCTGACGTTTACTGGGGCCGGCTTAGACTCTGCCGATCACGGGCGTTCTGGACTCGACGGGATGTCTGTCCTGACGTTTCCTGGGACCGGCTTAGACTCTGCCGATCACGGGCGTTCTGGACTCAACGGGATGTCTGTCCTGACGTTGCCTGGAACCGGCGGACTCTGCCGATCACGGGCGTTCTGGAGTCGACGGGATCTCTCTTCCGACGTTTCCTGTGACCGGCGCTGAATCGCTCGTTCACGATTATTTTGGAGACGACGGGATCTCTCTTCCAAAGTATGTTTATGCTGACGCATCCTATCACCTATTCGGCGTCTATTCTAATTTAATTTCCTCCTCGTCTCCCTTTTTCTTTCCAAATTTCCCTCTACATCAGGGAGTCGTATACATAATACGACGAATATTGTAACTGTACGGGACAGATACAGGGGCCCGCAAAGATTGTGGACAGCTGTTATGTACAATCCTGTAGAGCCTTTGTAGTCACAGATACGGGACAGATACGGGACAGATACGGGATAGCTCCAGCCGTGACACAAACAAACAAACAAACAAACAAACAAACAAACACCAAATTAAAGCTGTGTGGACCCTGGCTAGCGCCAGACGTTACTGAAGTAACGTCTTCTGCATAGCTACGGGAATTAAAGCTGTGTGGACCCTGGCTAGCGCCAGACGTTACTGAAGTAACGTCTTCTGCATAGCTACGGGAATAAAAAGTTAGTTGTAGAACGTCAGTACCGTCGGTCAGTGTCGTGCCATGGATTCGCATAAGCTGATTGTTTAGTAACTGGTGGTGTCAGAAATTTCTGGCACCAACCAAAATGCAGAGCTAAATGCTCTGCCGTATGATTGATTAATTAATTTTAATAAAACAGCTGCTTTGTTCTTCTAAAGAAAATCTGGGAGTCGACAAAGAATGACTGCTTCAAAAGTGAGCGGTAATTATTCTTGACGAAGTGCGGGTGGTACGTAGTGCAGAACACTAAATGTTTCTGTACTTTAGTAGCGGATGACTTCTTCCGAGTGAAGAGTTGCGGTGTTGCTTCTACCGCTTCAAATATCGGTTTAAGAAAGTCAGGTGGATATCCTCTTCTTCTGAGCCGAGTCCAAAACTCAGCACGGATGGTGAGGATGTCTTCGAGCAGCTGGTTTGTACGATTGTATCTGATCAGCTCCGCATTGATGAATGAGCGTAGATTGGAGCGGGGGTGGTCAGATTTAAATGGGATATATAAGTAAGCATTACGTTTCTTTTGGAATGTTCTAAAAGAAAACTTACGAGCAAGAACATTAGGTTTGAATATTTCTAGGTCTAGGAAGACTGCAGTAGAAGAAATAGAAGACCAAGTTAGTTCAATATCGCATAGATCTTGGTAGACAAGAGCGTTAAAGCGTATCTTGTCAAAGGTTTTACTAACGATCAGACATAAGTCGTCAATAAAACGTCCGAAATAGTACACGGACGAGCGAAACGATTGCAAAGCTTTTCTTTCGTGCATGAATAGAAAAATGTTAGCAATATTGACAGCCATGGGAGTACCCATTGCCATTCCGAACTCCTGATGAAATAGCTTACAATCAAACTCGAAGTAATTGTTCTCAAGAACAAATTCTACAAGGTCCACAATCAGTGAACAAAGCGGGTGTTCTACCTCTACCAGGAAATCGTTAATGGCTGAAATGGTGTCTGACCAATGCATGTTTGTGTACAGGCTAACAACGTCAGCTGTGACTATCATGGCGTCTTCAGGGAAATCACGTTTAGCAAGGATGTTTGTTAGACTATGCGTGTCCTGAAGAACTGTGCTTGCTTCTGTCTGTGCAAAGGCTCTACAAAGGTAGTGGTCTACTAAGCGTGAAGCAGGCGTTGTACAATAGCCTATGCATGAAACAATAGGCCTTCCCTTTATAATACCGTTGGGACTAGGGTCCTTGTGTATCTTCGGTAGTAGATAAAACTTTGCAGGTTTAAAAGGGAAGTTTGCAAGCAGCGCTATTTTATCATTAGATGATAAAACTGAATCGTGTTTCTCGATAATATCAATAAGAATGGGTTTCAGGAAATGTAGCTCAGGTACTATGTTGTCAAAACTCACAGATGAAACTGCTGGCGTAGGAATGAGTCTATAGTACTTTGCATCAGATAGTTGTCTATAACCTTCAGAAACATAGTCTTCAGTGTTTAGCACAACTGTACCCAGATTCTTATCAGCACTAGCTATTAGTTTTGTGTTTCAAAAACCACTCATCAGACATTGTAACATGTACATCAGGGAGACCCAAAATAATCATTAATTTTTCAACTCCCTGATCATAGACTGATGTGCATGCAGTAACCGCACTTGAACGGACCCTTGACTGACCCGGTTGCAATGTCTGTGCCAGGTACACGTGTACCCGGTTGGTTTCAAATCCTGGAGCAGACACTAGGAATTGTGTTTCCCTCCCTTCGTTGGTGCGGGGAGCGACACACAATTCCCCAAGTATTGTCGAAGTCCCACGAACCTCTTCTTCACATTTGCGACTTGCATTCTACTTCACACCGCTGCTCACTTGCTCAAACAGCCACAGTATGGTGGCAGCTTCATGTATTTACTACAGCGGCTTACATGACCACGAGTGCTTGGTCACCTTGACTAGTACTGGAAATGACACACAGTAATGTTCACAGGTAGCATAGACTCATTCACTCTTTACAGCAAAATGTCAATACTTGGCAAGAATGTAACAGCTGGAGATGAAATCCTTAGAAATAGGCCATTTGATGTTGAAGTTGTCGTAGGCATAAATGAAACAGTACCACTTACAGAGTCACTGAAATGACTTTGCCTGGCAGCAGAAGACTATGTTGCGGTGCCAGAAAAACAGAAAGAGAGACAACACACAGGTAAAGAGAGAGTGAAAGAGAGAGTTTGTGTGTGTGAGGGAATGAGAGACAGAGGCACAGGTAGAGAGAGAGAGAGAGAGAGTGCGGGAGGGAGTGTGTGAGATAGAGTGTGTGTGAGGGAGTGAGAGAGAAAGAGAGAGAGACAGACAGACAGACAGACAGACAGATACACACAAACAGGTAGAATGAGAGTGTGAGAGAGGGAGAAAGTGAGTGAGTGAGCAGGTGACACATGCATAATGGAGACTCCATTATTCATCCCAGTGTCTGGTTATAATGTGGATTTTGTAGAAAAAAGAAGAAAAACATCATTATGCCAAAGAGATCAGGAAAGCCAAGGTATTGACATTTTGCGATGCACAAGCACCTAGAGCAATTGAGACTATTGCCAACTAAGGATGGCCATGTGCTGCTGTGGTGTTTAGCCTGTGCACAAGGAGGGAGAGCACAAGGAAAAAATAGGGTAAGTTGCTATCCAATCATGCAGATATCTAGAGAGCTTTTCAAGGTTAGACCAACGGTCGCTTTTCGGGATTACGTTCGAGAAGGTTTTCGAATCGCTGGTGCACAGGCAAAGCCCAACTCACAAACCATACTAAAAATTATTTTGAAAAGTCTAGAGATTTCCATTCTCAGCTCAGCCAAAAACAGTACTACTCGCAGCTAAAGCTTCTAAACATTGACGTTAGAGGCGGCCGGGCAAGTACGGCCACCGTCAACTGGGTACAGTGTCCTACCCTCCTTGGACATCTCTCCTCACAGTCTCCTCTTGAATTTAAAAGTCACACAAATACTCATCTTATTATTTTGCTCACTTAGCAATACAATCTTTTCATTTTCTTTCTTCTGTTTACTTTTTCAGCCTAATCCTCCCTACCCGATCTCCCTTTGGTGCGTCCCTGGAGCTATGAAGCCAAGACCTCTGGTCGGCTGAGCTTAATGGGCCCCACCACCACACTCCATTATTAACCCTAGTGTCTGGAGATATGTGGATTTTGTAGAAAAAACCTCATAGCCTACCTGCTGGCTATGGGCAGAAAAATCCGGTGACAGGGTCACAGGGGTAGACCTCTTCCGCACACGTTCTCCCACGCCATCCTGGTTTGCAACTGTTAAACAAAGTCACATGCAATGGCAAAGAGACAAAAGGCAACGGAATTAGTTCACTTGTTAATCGTGCCTTTAGAAATAATATAAATATATATAACTTATGTTTGTATGAGCATTCTTCCGTCTCCATCTCTCTTTTCTTTCCAATGTTCTTTCCCTTCCCCATCACTTCCCATTTCAATCAATTTCTCTCTCGCATCCACCAATGGTGGTATTGAGCACGTCTTTTCTATCATTAAAGACCCTACCAAAATGTTCAAAAACTCTGACCAATTGCATATTGTCACCATTGGTCTCCTAGTACACATATACTTCGAAGTAGATTATATCTCCCGCTGACACAGATACTTCCAGTGAAATACTGAATAACCGTCTTACAACATCCTTCTCTCTCCCTCTGTCTCCTTTTTCTTCTTTTTTAAATTTCGGCCAGTCGGCTTTTATCATTAATTTTCGTCTTGGGGGTTAGACAAGGGGAAATAGCCATGTAGGGGTGTGAGCCCGCCTTTCGGCACCGGGAGTTGCAGCTCGCTCGACTCGACTGAGTGAAGAGAGCCCACACATTGATCTCGTGAGCTGTGTCGTGGGGACTTTGCAGTCAGATGCGCGACTACGGGGCTCGAACTGCAACTGCAGTACCCAATGCACTACCAGGGAGCCACTTTTGCGCTTGCATGTTTCACACTCTCTTGTCTCATTTCTTTCCATCCGAGTCCATTTCTTTCCTTTCATATCATTCTGTGAGAGGGTCGAAAATTCACTTGTCCATGCAGGAAGGCAGCAATGCCTGTTCATTGTTGCGATGTGAAATGCTGTGTACTGCAGAATGGGTAATTTTAGTGGGTAAATTGTTTAGCGCTTTAATCAGGATCAATTCGCGATGAAATATTTTAGCAGTCCGAGCTTCAGAGTTAAAATAGAAGGTGACTATCACTATACTGTCCATGCAAAATTTTGATTGGCGTTGTAAACAAAACGATCACGGTTCGCGTGAGACAAGTTTTCCGCATCCGTAGGAACGCCACCACCCTCTAGGATCAAAGCACAGCTGCAGCTCCTAAGCGGTGGGAGGTGAGTAGATCAGACCCACCACCAAGTGGTCAAAGACCGAAATCCCATTAACTGCATCCATGTTTCCCTCGTGCCAGGCCACGAGTTCCTAATCATAACTGTTGCAAGGCCTTAGCGAAAACACTATATTCGCTAAAGCCGCTTTTAAAAATATCTGTTTTACAGTCCAAACCAAGCAATCAACATAATACATATTTCAGCACATACACCTTGTTATGGTGTATGTATGTATTACATGTACATTGCTCAGTGATCAGTCATGTCTTGCTGTGTACATACCTGCAGAATTGGTTTGTCCCATCATTTACACAAACACCGTGGAAGCAGTAATACGTCGGGGCGCATGTTGGTGCCTGTGTTGTTACCGGCATTGTCGTGGTTGTCGGCATTGCCGTGGTTGTCGGCATCATTGTGGTAGCTGGCCATTTCATAGTGATAAAATGGGAGAACAAAGTAGTCCCAATATTTTTGCCAGCAGCATTCACTTGGGTCACAGTGACAGTGTATTGGGTGGAGGCCCTAATACCGTAGATTGGAGCGTATACATGGGAATCGGGCATTGTTGCTGCAAAAAGTGACAACAGAGGATGAAAATGAGCAAGAGAGTAGAGAGATAGACAGACATCGCCACAACAAACACACACACCAAACACATACCATATTTTCCAGAGTATCAGCCGCACTTTACTAAACACTTGTAATCCACCCCAAAGTAGTCAGTGTGGCTTATACTACGAGCGTACAGTGGTGAAATGATTAGTGATATATTAGGTAGATGTCTGCATTTCTTGACAAACAAAAATCCGGAGGAATGCCACGACCCTGAAGGATCAAGGCACGCCTTAATAGACACAAATGCAGCACATGAAAAAGCAATAATTCTGAATACATAGTAACTTATAAAGAGAACCATTTGTAACACAAGTAACGACAATGCCTCTTATAAACCTGATGAAGGCTTTTCTACTATCACTTCTCAAATCAGTACATGATAATAATGTTATTACACTTATTAGTCACATGAACTGATTTGAGAAGTACTGTCATGAAGGCAATGGCCTTATCAGATTTACAATCGCCTTTGAAGCTACATTCTTACCAGGGAGTAGTAAAATATACATATTTTACTACTACCGGATTTGGACTAAATTACACTGCCAAATTGCACCGATTATGCATCTGTACGTATTCTGCTTGTAAGGCCACCCTTTCTTTTTTCGTTGTTTAACGTCCGCGCCCGCGTACCTTTTTGCCTCCGACCGGAAAAAAAAACAAGAAAGTAGTAGTACTAATAATATGCGAAGTTGTTGTAAATACATGATTGTGTAGTTTCACAGTGTTCCGATCATGACCTTAAACTTATAATCTTGCCTCCCGGGCATGCCATTGTCTTGTGTTCTGTTTCTTGTTTTTGTTGGCTTTTAAATATCGTACGGTGTGTGTCCTAGTAAAAATCCAGATGTAATGAATTCATGACATGCTAACTCCATGCTATGTACCTGTTTTGTTGGATTCATCAGGCATGTGCTCCAATGTACCATCAAAGAGTGTTGTTCTATGCCTGCAAGTGCCGTTAGACCAAGAAATATTGTATATGTCACATGCTTTACTGGTCAAAATGTTTGATTGGGGTTTCCAGTTTTTGGAATTGGCTTTTGTTTGTTTTTCGCCCTCCCGCGTACCTTTTCGCGAAAAAAGGACGTTAAATAATGAATTAACAATGGGTAGCCTAAGTGCTAAAACGTCAAATCAGCGTCACCCAAGTTGCTCATTTGTAAGATTATATCACAAGGCGCGCGTCACAGAGAGGCAAGGATGCAAAACATCTGCATCAAAATCTTTTGAAACTCCCAGAGAGAAATTCAGATTGTTGATGGCTACACATCCTATTCAATTAGGCAAGAAATTGTTTCCACCGTCAGCTTAAGGGGGCACATCACCCAAAAATTTCATATGGCATTCAATTGACCGTAACTTTGGTGTTTCTCAGTGGATTTGAGTGAAGTTTTGACCACACACTCCTGCCACTATGCTGGCCCTCAGGACATGATTTACAAGTTCTTGCGCCTCACTGACAGGCTTTCCAGGCCGGAAAAACTCAAATTTCCGGCATAGTGCTACGGTGTGCGAGCCACCCAGGAGCCAAACAAATGCATTTACATTTTTTCACATTTTCGTGCCCATTCTGTCCGTGCGCGGGACCCAAACCTAAAACAAGTCCAGAAGCAGCCATGGGTGGTGGGGTAGGGCCCCTCAACGTGGCCCTGGAATCTGTCACAACGGAACGAGTGGGCGTTCTTTCACGGGCTCCCACAGACCCAAGTCAATTTTTGAATTTTTTTAGGTTTAGCACGTGCTACGAGGTCGTACCTTTGATACAACATCCAGTGCTGGGACCTCCACAGCAAGCCATTTCCACAGCGCTGCACACCAAATCCAGGATGCCCTCAGAAACCGGCAAAGACTGCCACTCACGTTTCACTACTGCCTAGTACTGAATCCTACCTGACTTCTTGACACGACTCAAACTTGCCAAAGTCACTAAATCAACGTCAACTACAATAATCAAGCCACATATCTGCAACGTCACGAGGGTGCTGGCAAAAGTCCTGCTGCACGGCGGCGGGCTTCGCCCGCCGCCGTGCAGCCCAATACGTGGTTTTTTAACGTGATTTTTTGGACTTTTTTGGACTTGGGCAAAATTCTGCACACTTTCGCGTGTTTCCATAATACGACAAGTTGCGCACGGTCTGCTCACATTCAAATACAGTGCTGCCAACAAATGACAGCATGCAACAAAAAAATCTTTCCTTGCAAGGGCACATTTTCGGCCATAACTCTTGAACGGCTGGTCAGATAGGGACACAGTTTTCAGAGAATTTGCAGCTATTCATGCTCTTTCAACTGACGTAGCACTCAATATGAATTTACAAATTTGATTTTTCAGCGAATTTTTGGGTGATGTGCCCCCTTAAGAAATGTACAGTGACCAAGGTTGGCTATGGGAGATAGCATAAGACCTTGGTACAGAGTAAAAAAATCTTACTTACTTTGGGCCACTTTGATGAATGAACCTCGAAGGGAACACTTTTTGCCAGCCGCACATGGACATTGATCAGAAGTGAAGCACTCAGTGGCATAATAACTTATCCTGTAAGCGAAGTATAGATTGCGGTATTTCCATGCGATGAATGACTGGAGGCGCACAAAGACACACAACATGGACTCAGATACCTATGCCTATTTCAAACATGCAACGTTGTCTGCTATTCCAAACCCGGCCGCATCAGACAGGTCATCTTGTGTCACTCGCAGTGGTCGCCAACCACCGCTTTTGCTATAATGGAGAATCTTTTTAAAAGGCTACACTTGCTGCCAATGATTGACTTCGGCTGAGTTCATATAAATATTATTATCAGCAGCAATAATCTGTATTATGTTTAATGATAGCTTGCATAGACCTCGGTGCTACCGGTGGGACCTACCGGTAGGACCATCATACACAGACATGCTGCAGGGCCTCTGTTCTAACATTGACCTAAAAATTGACTCTAAACTGTTGCTAAGCTAGGGGCTAATGAAGGGGTCCACAAAATTTAGACGTGATCGTACAAGGCATTTCACGAAATTCTAGGGCAAGCCTATGGTAAACACGTCCACTTCTCGGCGGGGGGTACATACTGCCGGAACCAAGTCACACCGAATACCACTCCAAGCATCTCTGGTTGCAGCTGCGAATAGCGTGACTCTACATCTGATAGAGAGTGACTGGCGCATGCCACTGGTAACCAACAGCCACTGGTATTCTTCTGCCACAGAACTGCTCCCAGACCCTCTGGCCATGCATCACAGCTGATAACTTAGCAGTAGGGACGTCCAGCACTGGTTGAAAGAATGTCAACGCTTGCAAAGCTGAAGCTATACTAGCCTTTGCTGAGGTGACTGTCTGCAGGATTTCATCATCATTATCTACACTGAAGGGATCATGCTCTGATAGCTTGCGCAGAGAAGCCGTGATCTGGGCCAAGTTCGGAATAAACTTTCCAAGGTACGTAGGCATCCCCAGGAAACGTCGCACATCAGAGATAGTTTTTGGAGGGGCCAGCTCCTGGATGGCTTGTAACTTGTCATAATCTGGGGACAAGCCGGTCACACTTAGCCAATGTCCCAGATAGTTGACACGGTCCTGGTTCAGTCGGCGCTTGGTCCAGTTGAGTTGGAGGTTAGTGATCGCAGTCGCTGCTTGACTGCTTCTAGCCGTGCAACGTCTTCTGCTTGATTTGAGCCAAACACTAGGATGTCGTTGATGTAGACGATGACCCCTGACAGGCCTTCCAGAATGTTGGACACCACTTGCTTGAAAATCTCAGGCGCACATGCAATCCCGAAAGGTAAACACTTGAAACGGAACAGGCCACAGTGCGCTGAGAAAGTCGTTAGAGGCCTTGCTTCTTCTGACAAGAGTAGCCGATGGTATCCAGAATCAGCATCCAGAACTGAGAAGACCCCTGTGCCATCCAGCTGACCTGTAACCTAGTCAACTGTTGGGAGAACATTGCGCTCGACGGGTGTAACTCTCTTATGCAGGTTCTCTGTAGTCCACGCATAGCCGCAATGCTCCATTCGGTTTGCGGACTGGAACAAACGGTGGCACCCACGGTGTCACTTCCTTGAATGACGGGTACAATGATATCTAACTTGGTCAGCCGTGTCAGCTCGGTCTCAATGTCAGCCCGGATACTGAAAGCCGGGCGTCGTGGTGGCTGGGCCAGAGGTTTTGAACGTTCTTCCAGAGATTGGGAAAGGCAATATAATTATATGCTATAATATGCTATGTATACTGGCATATTACATCACTATTTCGAAGAAAAGTGACAAGAGAGTAGTAATGTCTCCGCTGAAAATCGCCCGAAGGGTGCCTGGTGGACCAACGTCCCCATAACTTCGGTGTCCGAATAACCGAGCTATCAGTGTGCTCAGTATCACATAGAGTTTTGAGACCAAAACACATGGAAGCCTGAGCTCAAATCACTTCGAAGTCTGTTTCACTTGAAGCAAAGCAGTCAAAATATGACATTTCTCCGCAATAAATTGGTAGACTTTTTGTTCCTTTGTCCAAGAGAGTGGTGGCATTCCTGCGGATGTGCAAAGCTCGGCTTCCAGCCGAGTCTCACACGAACCGTGAATTTTTTGTTGTGCCTTTGTCCAATTACCCCCACACATCAACATTGGCTGGTTGCAGTCAGTTGGGAACAGAGATGGTCCGGAAAAAAATGGAAACCATGAAATGTTTTTTTAACTCGGATGGAGAGCCAAGGATAATTTATAGAGAAGAAAAAGGACCAAAGAACTACTTGTAAAAGTTATGCTACAATAGCCAGTTAGTTGTAGAAAGTCAGTACCGTCGGTCAGTGTCGTGCAATGTTATCACATGAGCTGATTCTGTAGTAACTGGTGCCGGGCGTTAGTGGACATTATAGCATAACTGGTAGTTCCTTCATCCCTTTTCTTTTCTATGTATTTTTAGCTTCCACTTTTTACTTACAGAGAATCTCACGAATATCTGGCCTGGCCATATATAATATATAGGCAAGAGCTCCGCCACATTAGCCGAAACTGCACGGATGCATAAAATGTAGACACACATGCAAACATAATACACACGGGCACACACACACACACACAATGTGCCCATGAGGACCACACACACACACACACACACACACACACACACACACACACACGCACACACACACACACACAAACACACACATACACACACACACACACACACACACACACACACACACACACACGTACACATGCATACATGCATACACACATACACACACACACACACACACATACACAAACACATTCAGCTGGGAAATAACAATAGAGGAATGTGAGGACATGCCCAAATGAATACTTGTTACAAGCTGTGTCAATCACTTGTGGTAAGACTTGAGTCAACCATGCACAAAGTTGAACGCTTTAACGGTCCATCGCCGACTCTCTAGAACTGTTACTTGCATAGCATTGCAGTTCTCTCCTCTGTACGTGAGAACTGGAAGACGGGTGTGAGGGTGTGCAATGGCAAGGCCGTCAAACTTTGTTCCATCCAATTGGGAACATTTTGCATACTTCAGACGTATCGTGAAAATTTTAACTTGTCAAACTCGAAACTCTCACAGCAGAGTAAGGCCTGGCTAAACTGCACAACATCCGTTTCCACAGCACCCAGATAGGCGAGGGAACCGGATAATCAAACACACGTGCTGCATACGCATATGGCACATGACCCTAGGGTCAGTCAAGCTGCCCCTGCCTCTCCCCCACTCCTGCCATTCCATTATGTTTCATCGCTGCCTTGCTGCTTTGTGCCGTCAAACGGTGTGTTGTTTTGTAAAAAAAATTTAAATAAAGTATGAAATTGTACGGACATGGATATAGATACCATGCGGTACGGGGGGGGGGGGGGGGGGGTTCCTTTCAAAATTGAAAACTTCAAATATTCCAGGTAGGAAAAATGTTTGGTTTGCACTTTTGGAAATGTGTTCATCATCGGCTGGGTATCAGGTTTTCGAATGTCTCAGTGCGTTGTCCTCGTATGAGTGCTTTGCCCATGTGCCTTCAGTGCCTCGTCCATCATTTCAGTGCTTTGTCCATGCCTGAGTGCTTTGTTCATGCCTTAGTGCTTTGTCCATAATGCTTTGCCCATATGCCTTCAGTGCCTCGTCCATATATGATTGCATTGCCCATATGCATTCAGTGCCACGTCCATGATTTCAGTGCTTTGCCCATGCCTTAGTGCTTTGTTCATGTAAGTTATGTGCTGCCGAGTTGTGCCATGACTATACTGATCACAACCAGGTTCAACTGATGGACCGCTGCTCTTAACTCGTATCCGTCTGTCCTTTCAGATATCCAGGAGACCGTATTTTCCAGAGCGTGAGCCGTACTGCACTGGAGTACAAGCCGAGCCTAGACACAATACAGACACCTAACCTGTTTATGGATGGCAATAAACAGAATCAGCTGAAGCGTCATTTCAAGCTGATTCTGTTTATTGCCATCCCAAAACCTTTTGTCACCTCACCACCTGTTCAAATATCCTGTTTATCACAGAAAAGTTGACCATCGTAGTAAAAGTCGAACCGGCTTCTTTGGGTGAATCACTGGTGTGTCTTAAGCCTAGTTCACATTCGACGGGGCGCGACGGGACGCGACGTAAGGATCGACGGGAAGCGACGGGACGGTCTGACGGCGTCCAATGTGAACACCAGGAACGGGAACGCAACCGTACTACCGTACAGATCGGGAAGCGACGGGAAGAGTTGGATCGAACCAACTTTTCATACCGTAGACGGGCGTAGACGGGGGGACGCAAGCGTACAAAACGGCTGCAATTCGAGTGTGAACAGGAGACGGCGTCGTGCGCCGACTGCTCCCGATTCGTACTTGGAAATTTTTAGCATTTCGAACACTGCGCTTCCCATGATAACTCACAGAATGGCTAGCACGACTTGAGTTGAATTTTAGCAACAAAAGATCTCATGTCACTTATTGTATTTAGGGATAGTTCAGTAGCGTGACAGACAAACTATTCTATCATTTCCTGGGGCTATTATTTGAATGCCACAACTTTCAGGGCTAATTTTTTGGTCTTCACGAAAAACTGGTACATGTTTTGTGAACTTGATTCCGCTTCTTTCAAGGAGAAATAATTGAAAAGAAGTCCCGAAAAACGAGAAATTAGGTCCAAAAGTCACCCCGTCACGGACCGTGCCTTATGACTCGCGCCGTTCGACGGTGAACGTCGCAACGACTGCTGCATGTCGTGTCGTACGAATCGTACAGGATTTTACAGCTCACCCCATGGCCCAGCCCTCCCGACAAGCCCTTACGTCCCGTACCGTCGGCGTTGCGTCGAATGTGAACTAGGCTTTATACTCCGGAAAATACGGTAAGTCTGCCCTACTATAATGACCTTACCAGAAGAGACAGTTTTGCCGTTTATGATACCACTTTGTGGTTCTGTAGGTGCTGCTGTCGGAATGGGATCAGCTACCGCTGGAACAGCAGAAGTAAAACAAATACTTAGTTATGTGCAATGGCAGTGCATGAATGAGAGGCCAATGCTTGCTAGTTACTGGAAGGCTGCTCTTGATCTCCAGTTTGACCTCAGTAATACTAATACTACACCTGGCCAAAGACTGCACTTCTGAATCATCAATCATCCCACAGTTCAAAAAGGTTCTAAGAATGTGCGAGGAATACCCCTTGACTGACCAGAGCTCTATGACATTCTCCCATTTACTTAGCATATAGCGTCGACGGTGAATCGGACACACTTTCCAGGCTTAGCTGCCGTCATTGGTTCTATTTTACAATAGATAAAGACTGAGGGTCTTATCAGCAGCGGAAGAAGTGTAGAACGACAACAACACAAGATCACCTATGTCTCACAGGAGCAGAGCTATCATCAAATGTTTGAGCTAATGCACAAACACTGGCTGATACATAAACAGGAGCTGATACAACGATGCAAGCTGGCGTGTCTTCAAACCCTGGCTGGCCTCAGACATGCACAAATGGACAGAGACTGAGAATGCATGGTCGGAGAGGGGGGGGGGGGGGGCATATGGCATCTTACCGGTTCGAATAAGATTGCAGTACAGAAGGACTACAGCTAGTAGCGCTGTCAGCATACGTACTCTTGCCATCTTGCTTCAGCTACAAGGAGCAGCAGAGAGAACACATTCGGACATAAATATATCCACAGAGCTGCTGCGCAGATCTACAACAGTTGTGGGGATTTCCAGCGACTGTAAGGTAAGTAGAGGTCTCGACATACAGTACAACGTCCCTCATCTGTATGACCCGGACCCGGACCCAGGCACTTGCATCTATCGGGCCCTATTCTGACGCATCTAGAGCGACCAACAATTGTTTTCGACGAAAAATGGCTCCAAAAACGTACGATGTGAGATTTGAGTTGGGGCCGGGCATTGCGCAAACTAGGAATTGCCCGCATGCGCACCTCACATCTCAGATAGAGGGGGCAGGTTGTACTGTAACTTAGATGCAGTCATCATGGAGAATCTTCATGCGCCTTCGACAGGAAGTGACGACAAAGCCTTGCAGCAAGAGTACATAACCCCCCAGAGTGTGCAACTCCCACATACAGGTCGTCCCTCGTTAATACATAATCTCTGGGACTTGACAAATGTTATGTATTAACGGGGTTTATGTACTAAACGAAAGTGTACATAACTTGCTTGTATACCAGAATTTTTCACTTTTTTCAACTTTTCTGAGTGTTTCTTGCTACCATGACTAGGCAGCGAGATATTCTTGATTCCCTCGATATAACATAAAAATTATGTTATAACGGTCACATTTAGCGAAGATTCTACAGTTGACATGGTACATGCCCAGCCGCACCTGTACAGTCACTCGAAAAAAAACAGAGCTTTGTCGGTTTGTGATGTGCGATCTGATTTCTATGCTAATTGCTTCCACAAGTAGAAACTAGAACACGATGTGCCTCCACTGGAAGGCCAAAAGACCAGTAAATTATGTACTATTGAGGTAGGTGACATGCGGGTATGGAGAAATGTTATGTACAACTGTACTAACGGGGTTTATGTACTAACGGATTATGTACTAACCGACAAAATTTGTATGGAAGTGACCACGTTTCGTCCGGGACTTGAGATTTCTTATGTACTAACGGGGTTTATGTACTAACCGGACTCGTATTAACGGGGGACGACCTGTACCCTGTTGTCCCGACAGAATTTCAAGTTGACGTCATTATTTATGTACTCTTGCTTGCAGTATAACTGATACTGGCTAAAGGTGCCCTCCCCTTCCACGTATTACCGGAATCATGCACAACATGCTTGTTTGCAGAATATAATCTGCTGTGTAGACCCGTATCTAAGACGCACTAACAAGTTATTACACAATTCCAGTGAACACGCGCGCGCACACACACACACACACACACACACACACTCGGCAGAACGCAGGCTGTTTTGGCACTACTCAATCATCTCTATACTCAATCCCTGTACTGTTAGCTGGCTTGACTTTGTTATGCCTCTGAGCCTGAGGGGTGTTCCGTGATTTCCAAAAAAATAATATTGAAAAATCCATCCTCGTGCAAGATGCGGTTGAGTGCAGTGGTCAAGAGCGCTGGCAGAATTTTTAATTTTCGTACAATTGTTGCACTGCACACTGTATTGTACGAGACTGTTGCACACGCCATGTGTGTTTTCCGAATTTCAGAATATTTCCTCGATTGTGCCTTTCCGAAAAAACCGAAAAAAAGGATGTGCCGAAAAAACCATTTCCAGTGTTTTGTAGTCCAAAAACTTCAACAAAAAAGGATGGGCATTATACTGGGCGTGGGGTACGAGCTAGTACTAGTCTAGGGTCCATCTTACTTCGTTTTTCTTAGCCGTTTATCATCTTTGTGTCTTTGTACAGTCAGATCTCGCTTATCCGGTCCTCGTTTATTCGGATCCCTCGCCATCCGGAAGAGAATCGCTGGTTACCGATGTGCAGCATATGTTATGCATACAACATAACCGGACCTCGCGATCCGCATACCGGTGCAAGATTTTGCGTACAAACTGGTTAAAATGTGTACAAAAAGCTTCGTCGTATCCGGTTGCACGTGGCTTGCAGAAGCTAGAATCAGGAAGTTGTACAAGCAAACGAGGTCCTTGACCTGCTGGGTGCATGCAGACAGCACTCAGCTGCATGCACTTGTCATTATAGCAATAAAAACTGCTTTATGGCAGTTTTCTAAAAAAAGTTATTGTGTTCTAGTCCATGGACCTCGTCTAAAAAGTAAGAAATTAACGAAATGTGATAGCCGAAAATTAAAATTTCACACAAAACCTCACAATAATCACGACACTTGAAGATCTAATAGTACGGCTTTCAACACTTGTTTATTCCGACACTTGTACTTGTACAAGTACATGTACTGCGCCAACATGCTTGCATATGAAAGAGGACCACGAGGGGAAAAGGTCGTCTCGCATCCTGTGTGTGATTATTGTGAGGTTTTGTGTGAAATTTTAATTTTCGGCTATCACATTTCGTTAATTTCTTACTTTTTAGACGAGGTCCATGGACTAGAACACAATAACTTTTTTTAGAAAACTGCCATATTAAAAGCAGTTTTTATTGCTATAATTTTTTTTTTTTTGCTAAAGGATATAATTGTGTAACCAATGGAATGCCCTAATGATGGCCTACATGTAGCGCCTCTGCATGTTGTTATTATTATTTTATTTATTTTACTAGGGTGTTTCCCACAGACCTATGTTCTTCTTACGGGAGCCCCTATGTGTATCATATCAAATTCAATACCGTTTTACACGCATTGATGTGCAAGCCTTTTCTTGCAGAAAATGGAACTAGTCTTGCATACATGTATTCATGTTCTTCTGCAGGGGAATCATATGGGTCGTGGCGGTGATACTTTTTTTATACGCAAGTCATTCTGTGGATTTTGCCGAATTTCATGACTGTCATAAAATTGTCTTGTCTTTCAGAAAATTCAGATGTCCACACCCTAAATCACATTTACTTGAGAATTGTAACCAGGTGTGTGCCGCAGATGTTTTTGTTGATTCTGTGTTTATAATTGTAGTCATGGCTTGTCGTGATAAGGTCATCCGGCATCATATTGTAGTGAAATCGTAATCCTGTTGATGTCGATAACACTTTTGGAAGCAGTTCAGTGTCCACGATTGTCTAAAACAACACAGCAAAGTAGGAACAATAAACATGCATTAAAATGTAAACAAATACATCGCTGAGTCCGACACCTCGTTCCAACAACTACACTGATCCTGAGGATATAAGGGGCAAGGATATATATTATGGTTTTAGGTACTGAGAGATAAACAAGGCATTCCATAATAGTAAAATGTTACACGACTTCGGGGGAGTATGAATGATATCTAGCAAGAGTACATTATGGGGGGTTATGTACTCTTGTATCTAGTCAAACCTCTTTAGGACGAACATCAAGGGACCGATGGCATTTGCTCTGTGAGTCTGTGTTAACCCTATTTTATAACGAGTGAAAACAATTATTTCTCCAATAGAGACACGAATAGATTTCTTCTACAGCGAAAGATTCTAAGCCGGACCAAACCATTGACTCGTCTTTTATGAAACAAATGAGTCACTGAACCTTTCTTTAGCAACATGACGGCAACTGAAACAACAACAGAGAAAATACGATACATGTATAGCACAGTCTTGCAGGTACTACAAACAGATTGCAGATCGTAATTCTTGCTCTACCGGCACGCAACTTTATTTGGGGCATGGCAGTGCAATCTCGGCGCTACTCACAAATCAAACAGCCCAGACTCGAGTAAACAAATCCAATCGTACGAGATTTTCACGAGACGAGACTGCACCCATTGGCTTGTTTCGTATGAAGCAAACAAGTCACTGAATGCATGAACCTCTCCATAATGGAGATTTTCCCTGATATGCGAATTTATTTTGCATACTAGTACTCGGCCAATGCGTCTTTGAACCTTTCCCTCCAGATTGGGAACTGCCAACGATGCTATGCCACTGCAAAATTCAGATTCTACCCTATGATCGGAGCACGGAATGCCGGAAGCAATCATGACCAGTGCCTTACTTGTAACGCACCAATGTACAATGAACACGAGTATTTCGACAACACATCTATTTAAAGCCTCAGCAGCAACATAAGCCTTACGGTCAAGAAGGTGAACTCACGTTCTTCGCACACTGTTGGCAATGGCAAGGTGAAACGAATGGATCTAAATCCGAATAAAATCAGCACACGTTTCCGTAGTAGTAGTAGTATTTATTTTATTTACCATCGGATGCCTCAACAGTGATACACACAACTCTTAAGAGGGCCGATAACGGGATAAGTGGAAAGGAAAGGAAAAGAAAAGAAAAAATAGAAAAAATTGGAATTCAGACATCAAGCAGTACAGTAATCAAACACCAAGTCAACTTCAATCTTAGTACAAGAACTATCAAGATCATCGAGAAACTCAACAGATTCCAAAAAGAAGGTCAAAATACTTCTTAAACGCCACTGGGTCTTTAAAAAGATCCCTGAGTTGGTTTGCAAATGTAGAGGTACGGTGGTGTCTGCGCCACTCGGCAGGTAGTGTATTAAAGAAAATTGCGGCAAGATTAGAAAAAGAATTTACTCCATCAGTTGTCCGGTGCTTAGATATGGCAATGGAAGCATTAGAGTGGCTTCTAGTTCTAAGGCTTGTTGTGATCGGTGGAAATAATTCCGTTAGGGTAGGCAGTGAGATGATGACATGATTTCTATGAATAAACTGGGCAAAGTTGAGAATCATAATTATAGTGTTCAAATGGATAAATCGCCAATGTGGTCAATAATGGCGTGATGTCGTCCTGTGACTTAGCACCACAGGCAGCTCGCACAGCACGGCGGAACACAGTAGAGAGCCTTTGGCGGTCCTTAGCGGACAGCTTCGTTACAAAACACGAACAACAGTACAAAAGATCAGGTAGAATGACTGATACAATAAATTGCCTCCTGGCCTTCCTGCTCAATTGCCGAAAGGACCGACGAAGAGCGCCAACCTTAGCACATGTCTTGCGAATTACAAAGTCAATGTGAGGCGACCACGTTAGGCGGTCATCAATGATGACCCCCAGGATTCGGGTGCTGGTAA